TTAATTACTCATATAATAAATTATAATTTATTGTGAGTCTACTACTAACTAATTAGTAGATCTAAGGAGTCACACAAGGATCAATAAGTCCATATCATTTATGAAATTTTATTTTAATTAATTAATTAAAATAAATTAATTAAATGATTTTTTATTTAATTAATAGAAAATGGAGAATAAAATAATTATATTAATTAAATTGTTTAGTTAATTAATTATTCAATCTTATCATAAAATCTCCTAATTAATTAGGAGCTCTATAATGGGATAATTAATAATTTAATTATCTAGATAGATATTATTTGATTTTTTGAAATTAAATAATATAGATATTATCTCCTAATCTAATAATAAGATAAATACAAATATCTTACGAAGACCTTTCAAGTGAGTTGAGAAAGATTTTCTACAATCATTAGATTAAGAAACGTTTTGATAAAAAAAAAAGGTCCATAAGTTGAAAAAAAAATGTTTTTAGATTAGAAGCATAATCCTAAATTTTAGTTGACGCTCCCATGTGAATACCATTAGAAAAAGTGTATTTAAACTTTTTATGAACCATTCTGACGCTTATGTTTAGTTGCTAAGATGTGAATCTAAAATCACCCAATCCTTATATTGATAGAAAACTTAAAAGGTTTAAATCAATTTTTTAAAATTAAATTTACACATATTATATCTTGGAGTATAAAATTAGAATTTCAATGTGATTTAATCACGTATTTAGATATTAAAATTTTAATTTTTCACTAACTTTAAATTTCTCTTTTTTATGCGAATCTAACATGTTGCACTATTCAATAAAGCCAATTTCGTTGATCTGTAGAATTTAGTTTGTTAAGGCCATTTTGGGCAATTTGACCTGGGCTATTTTGGGCTTTTACTGTACTTCTTCTGCTATCAAATCGTGCACTTCATAACTTGGTCTCATTGGCACTAAACATGAGTGATATACCAACTTCCTCAACTTTTGATATGCAGGTTTCTTCTGGTTGAGTTGATCCTGGTGTTCCTCAGTGGGGCAGCAGCCCTAATAGTGTCGTACGTGGCCTTTTAGTTTAATTTTTAATTTTTTTATTTTATATTTATTTAATTAAATAAAAATTAATTATTTAGATAAATTCATCATATTTTAATTTTGATTGTGATATCAATGTTAAGTTTTTTAATTTTTTGTATTTTATTTTTAAATTTCACATATATAGAGTCAAAAGAGATATGGAGTCCAAAAGGGAGAGGGATTTTCTTCAGGGCTCAAGAGATGGAATAGATAAGGCCCACCAGTTTTTAATTCGCCGCTAGAAAATTCACACCAAAAGGGAACGAGGAATTCTCAATGAAAAAAGTACTAGTTTTTTTAGTTTTATTTTAAAATTTAAAAAGTAAAAAATGGAACAAATTTATTTTAATTGTTTATAAAATAATTTGACATTTAATATTATATCTAGATTTTTTTTGTTTAATTAAACATGAAATAAAAAAATAAAATAAAAATAAAAAGGTTGCAAGGGCACTGCCCAACGGGGGGAGCGCCCAGTATCGACTCAACTGTTTCTTCTGTCTAACTAGGGCTATTAAATTGCCTTTGTTGTACAAAGAGGCTGGGGCATTGGCTTTAGATTGGAGAACCTTGCCCTTGAATCTACAGGGCTGAGTGCTGCTATAGCTTACGACATCGATCTCCATTATGCTACTTTAATTGGCTAGAATAGCTTGGCTTGGAATCAGATCTGAATTGGGGCTTTGCTCGGCAATATGCATCTCAAAATTTAAATTTCCTTGAAATTAAGGCCTAATCAAACTGGATTTGAATGAAAATCACTCACGGCAATTTTGTTAAGCTGTTTTGGATTGGATTTAGGTTTTGAAATTGATCTCTATCGTCCACTTTACAATTTGACCTATTGAAATTCAAGTGAACAACGTGAGTGAAGTGGAAATTGAATTAAAAAAAAAAAAAGCTTTATAAGGCTCACTTTCATAAAAAATTATTCATTTCACTCGGATTAAAAAGAAATAAAAAATACAATGAATTTATTCAATTATTTCTCCATTTTAGCTAAAAATTATGAAAAATGTTTGATAAATCAAATGTAAAAATAAATATATAAATATAATATAAATTAAATTTATCAACACCAAGAAAGAGGGAGAAAGATATAGAAGAAGGGAGACTGGTGCTGAAAAACCAACACCGGCAATTGCGGTTGATAGTGCTGACGCCGACCACTGCCACATTGCCCTTCTTTGTTGCCTCAATTTTGCCGGACGCAGCTGAAAAGCAAGCTGACTGTGGCCCGCCGGGTTTCTTCGGGTTTCAATAAGAGAGAAAGTTGCGAAATTGTTTGTAATTACAATTTGGCCCCTAAAAAACTTGACTTCTTACTCTTTGCTCTATTAATTGACAATTGGTTCAATTTACTTCTTATAATATTGGAATTGCGCGAGTTCATCCTCCATTTATTATTGTTTGTTATTATTGCTTTGCAGCGTCAAGCAGATCAACTAGCATATATCACCTATTTATTACATTCACGTAAATCTTATATAATTATAATTTCTTAACTTCTAAAATTCTATAATAACCCAAAGAATTTTATAACTCACAACGCTCAAGATTTTTTTCACAAACTTTAAATGCAAGACCATGTCAAAAGAATTCTCGACCAATTTACCCACGTGAGGTGTACTCGTAGTAAGATAGGGAGGCCCGCACAGGAAGAATTCCAAGTATAGTATTGCTGTGTAGTCGTCTACAGGACAGGCAGGTCTATTACGTCCTTTTTACCAGTGAAATGAGGCATCCAATGACATCTCTGTCTGGGCTGAATTTCTCTGGCAGTGAGAAAATTAGAAAAGCGAACTTTTGGAATGTAGTTGAGCATCTAAATTTATTAAAACTACAAACTCACGTCATGGCAAACGTCAGCATTAAATCCTCCAAATACTAAAGCCCTCACTGGAACAGTAATTTCATCCCGTACTTTTCAGGCAATCCAAAGCAGCACTTTCTAATGCTTTGACAAGGCGTCGGGGGGTTTTAAAATGAATTGGGAGAAATCATGTTTAGTAAACATTTTAAAATTATTTAAAATAAATTTGATGCTAAATTTCATTATTAATTTATTAAGTTTAAATTAAATACCACACTAATTCTTTAAATTAAAAATGTTACATTCTTGTCCCTCAAATTCAATAAAAATTTTATTATAATATTTTAAATCACTTTAGATTCAAATTCGATCACGTTCATATCACGGTATATTTAACGAAAGCAATTGTATCATAAAAATAGTACAATATTAAATGTTATAGTACAAATTTTGAATTCTTAAATATACGAGAGAGAAGCAATTTTGTCATTGTGCTTGTGCTCCAACATTGCCAAAAGAAAGTCACACAGTAATGATTGTTCTTGTTCATCTGTTATTATTGTTGTTGTTGTTGTTCTTCTTTTCTTCTTCTTATCCCCTTCCTCTTATTATGATTTTCTTATTCTTTTTTTTTGCTGTTTTTGTTCTTTTAAATTTATTTTACCATTTTTATTCTCTTTTTTTGTTATAATATTCATTAATCATAGACTGTAAGTGAAAAAAATAATTTTGGAGTTGATTGAGTTTAACAATAAACGTGGTATAAGGTGAAATTTTTTCTCCTCTATAATATTTAAGAATTCAAAATTTGAACTACAACCTTTAATTTTATGCTTTTTAAATAATGAAATTGTCCTTGTTGAATATTATATGTGACACAAATATGACTAAATTCTGGCTAGGGTAACATTGGTTAGAAAGTGGCTTGAGGAACTATATTGAAATTTATATTAAATTTGAGAAATAGAGATATCACATTTTTAATTTAAAGAACTAATGTAACATTTATTTTAAATTTAGGTGACCAATAATAAGATTTATCTTAAATTTAAATTATAAGTCTAATAAATTTTGAGTGCGCTTGTTTAAATTCTTTTATAAAAAAATACCTTTTTTTATATAAACAACTTTTCTTTGCATTGTAGTCATCTGTTTTGAATTCCCTGCCAGGTCTGCCTCGATGTCCATAATTTTATAAAACTATTTTTATGTTTTTTGACTCAAATAACTCAAAAGTATTTTTTAAAATAAAAATGCTTTCTAATTATACCTAAATGCAAAATAAATTCTATTCTAATAAAATCACTTTTAACAAAGTATTTTAGAAAAAATTTATCCAAACTCACCCTTTATCTATATGCTAAATGTAATTAAAATAAGTAGTTTCAATTTCATTATTAGATAATATGCATAACTTAAATTTTAAAAATTTAACGCTTAATTATTTAGTAATTAAAATTAAATAAATAAAACTTAACATGAAATTTTTTTTAAAAGGTTCTATATTTAAAACTTTAACACTTAAAAATTTTTAATTTGATCAAATAATAAGTTCATTAAATAATCAAATGATTAAACTCTAAATATCCGCAGAGCGACCACTTCGTATTTCCATGGCAAGGAATTAATTCTAGGCTTTCTCCAACTAGTATTTTTATTATATAGAAATTTAACATGTATATGTAGCCAAAAGTTGAAACGAACTTGTTTAGAAGTTGACAAGTACAGACCAAATTAGTCCTCTTGAATTTCGATTGGAAGTTCATCAATTTCCGTGATAGGTTTTTTTTAAAAAAATAAATTAATTAAATTAAATGACAACATACTTTTGTCATGCACATGTCAACGTGACATCAGCCAAAAATATCAGCAAAAGTTATTTCATTCATAAGCACTCTAATATACAGGCCAAGACAACACTTTTACATCTAATCAGAAGTCTTTAAACTCAAACTATTTAACAGCCACAAACACCTTCACACCATTTGAGTTTTTTTCTTTTTCATTTTTCATTTTTTCCTTTTCAACTCAGGCTCAGTTAGGACAAGAAACACACACACAGAGGGAGTGAAGAACTTCAAACAACGACTAAGAGCACATACAAGGCTTTGTCTAATTAGCTAGCAATCAAAGATCAAAGCCCAGAACACCACCAATCACATCTAATAGCTGCTCATGAGCAGTCAACTGAGGAAAATGACCGTCGATGGAATGATCTCGACCGTCGATTTGCCCTTGATCTTCTTTTGCATGTAGTCGGCCACGGAATTGGGTACGATGGGGTCTTTGGGTGGTCTGAATTATGGCGCATGGGGTCATGACCATCTCCAAAATCTCTCTGTTGTCGCTTAAAAAGATGAGTTTGGCGACGGAGAGTGCAGTATCTGGATTCATTCTTTTCAAACTTTTGTCAAAATAATGGATGGAGAAGGGGTCATTGCCTCCCATTACCGTTGGAACAAAGGCTGAAACCCAGTCGTGGAAATTGTTCTCTATGCATGCCAAGAGCTGTTCGATCTCGTCCTTCGCAAACCCCCCTTCGTAGTCCTCCGAGTTTATGAAACTATAATGATATAATGATTAACATAATCAACAAAAAAAAGCATCATCCAGTGGCTAGAAATGGACAATTCACATGTATCATAATAGTACGTTATTAAAATTAGAAAGTTGGATATTAAAGGGCAAAAATGTTATCTTACTCATGCACCATTTTAGGACTAAATAATATCTCAAGATGAATCCTAAGATAGTGATGTTTATATGTTAATATCATGTTAATTAATTCTGTGCCGGCAACTGACGAGTGATAACTTTACTGTTAGCCATGAAATTCGATTGTTTGAGACCAGCTGGCTTTGTTATTTTCCAAAATTAATTATGAACTGGAGACTATATCTGATTTTTCATGCAATTTTATTCACGTTCATTTCCTTGATTAGAATACATCTGGACTTAACCTGGACCCACTTTTGTTTTAACTTTTTTTCTTCATTCCCTTTCATATGGCCAAATACGATATTTTCTGACAAAAATAATAATTAACGTGTATTTTTAGGATATTGTTTTGTAAATAGTTGAATTGAAAAGTTTATTTTTAAATTTGTAATATAAGGAGAGAGGAAATCGTTAAAAAAATTTATGAGGGGAAAGAAACATTCGAGATGATTGAACAAAAGAGAGTGGAAATGGTGGGATTTAAACTTGTAAACTAGGAGGGAGGGAGGGGAGAGAGAGAGAGAAACATGGAGAGTTTAACGAAAGGAAGGGAGACAGTGGATTATAACTGAAGAAAAGAGATGAAAATGATTAGGATACAATCTTGTAGACAAGGGCCGGGGGGGGGGGGGGGGGCAGAGAGAGAGAGAGAGAGAGTTGATAGGAGATGGAGATAAAGCCAGTCAAAATAATTAAGGAAAAGTCAGAACCAAATGGGTGAGATTTGAACTTAGGGAGAGGGGAGAGAGAGAGAGAAAAGAGACAAACATGTGCGCCAAAAAAATTGTGAAATATGTCGTATGAGAGAGAGAGAGAGAGAGAGAGAGAGTGAAAAAATGAGATGTCTTATCGGTCCGAATCTAATTTTGATCTACCCAATTGATGAATATATACGCCTTATAAAGGTGTGAAGTGAAAAAAAAAGGACAAAATTAACAAAATAAATCTCTCTTTCAAAATTTTTTTCATTTTAACAGAGTCGAATCTTTCATTTCAAAATAAATAATTAAAATATTTAAACCATCATATATAATTAACTAACCATCGAAGTTGAAATCCTAGGATTAAATTTGGAACACTCATAAGAACATGATAGACCAAACAACAAACGGACAGGGACCCAAACCCAACAAAACGATTCATTCCACGTTCAACTGTGATTTTACAAGAGTACGAGACAAAGGACTCTTTACGACTAGGGCATCACTCTTTCCATGTTCATGTGCTATTCAGTCCTTATCAAGGGATAAGGCATGCCTAATAATATATGCCTCTTCGGTTTACTAGGTTGTTAGACAAAGAGCCCAATGGACAGGTCAAACTCATGTAGGTCATTAATTTATTTTTGGAATTTATAAAACTCAATAAATTAAACCCTCGGATTGCATTAATATTTCTGAAAATTTTATTAGGAAATTGATAAATATACGAGGCACATATTTAAACCTAATATTGTATATATATCTGTGTGCATATGGGTGGGGACTACAAAAATTTGCTACTATGGATAACAAGAAAGATAGTCCAAGTTCACCTGTAAATACACCCACACCCACACCCACACCCAAAGGAGGGATGAAACATGTCCAAACAGGGTTTAGATTAACTCAAAACTGCTTAATAAGCCTGAGCAAATTTTGTTCAACTTAAACGAGGCTAGCAATTTATAAAAAATGGCTTAAGTTTGTGCAACCATAAATAAAAATTTGGCTTGGTTTTCCACAAAATTATACCATGTTCAAACCCACTCAAATTGCATCGCTGCACATTCACAGATTTCAAAAGATGTCTAATACTATATAGTATATTGTTAAATCTTGAGATGCGGTGAAACCAGTAACACTTTTTACTACATACCCCAAAACTCTTCATTACCGGATTAGTTTTAACTACAAGTCAATCCTTCAACGATGGAGATAAACCAGTCATTTAGACGCTAACCCAATGACCTATATTCCGAACAAGTACAGTAACAAGGGAGAGCTTTCAGCTTTAACTCGAGGGATGAACTCCTTTCTTTCCTAATAAGAGTGTGAAGGATTGGGCCTAACGAGGGTATTCTCCGTTCCTTTTTTAGGTCTTCGGTCTCCTTTATAACTGAAATAAAAATACAGTTAAAAAAGTTAAAATTATGCACGTGCTGCGGAGAGTGTGCCACCCCTCTGTTTTTTCTCTCTCTATGTTTGTATGATTTCGATGGAACGTGGACTTTGAACAATCTAAACAGGCACATCTTCATGCTATTAGTATGAACATCAATATTAAGTGTTTGCAATTAATTAATACCTGGGAGAAGCTCCGACGAGTATGAGTCTCTTGAAGAGCTCGGGCCTTTTAACGGAGGCAATGGACCCAATCATCGCGACATGGAGTGCCCAACAAAAACTATATCTCTCAAGTTATTTTCCTCTAAGAGAGAAATCAAGTCATCTGCAAAAGCCTCGAAGGAGGAGTACTTAACCGGATCAAATAGATCCGGATCCTTCACGGCACCGAGAAGCTCCAATCAAAGACCAGAACCCGGTACCGGAGGGAAAGGAAAGGGACAATTTTGTCCCACATACACTGGTCTCCTCCATAGCCATGACCCAGGACTAAGGTTTGGTCACCGGAGCCGACGGTTCTGGCGTTCATGGCCGAGGAGAGGCTCTTTCCTATCATCCCCACCATGTTTGGCTGTAGTTTACAGCTGAAGTGATAATTTCTTTTCTGAAAAAGAAATATGTAAGGCAGAGAGAGAGAGAGAGAGAGAGAGAGAGAGAGTCGTCGGAGCTACGTTTGTTTGGTGTGGTTTTCCGGTATGCTTCGCCTCTGTTATATAGGCACCAGAGGAATATTAGTTACCATTTAAGCACATAAGCCTACTCTTTGGTGATAGATAGGAGGACTGGCCTAAAACATTTGTGTTAATATAAGAATTTTTTTTTTTTTTGGGCTGAAAAGGGAAACTACAGCCATAAAGGAAATAAAAAATCAAATTCTAATATTAACCCAAACTATTAATATTAGAAATTTAAATGATGCTTTTTGACAGCGACACTGAAATCTCCGTGACCAGTGCTACACGTACACCTGTATGCTATAGCTATCTAAATATATAAATAAATAATTTATATATAAGAATGGATTAATTGACAACAGGTATAAGTGTAAAGATTTACATCACATTTCACCGTTGATTTGGTCAAAATTAATGATATAGATTAATTACAACTTATTTAAATGTAAATTAATTGTTAGAAGTTAGTAGAAAACAGTTATAATTAATCTGTATCGTTGATTTTGATCAAATAACATTATAAGATATGGTGTAAATTTTTTATATTTACACTTAGTGACAATTGATTTCTTCTTTTATATATATATATATATATATATTAGAGAGAGAGAGAGAGAGTCATCTAATCCGTAGTAATAAAGGGCACCTTCACATGAAAGGGGGCTTACAGAAGGTATGATTTAAGTCACTTACCACGGTCTTTGGAAGGTGAAAATTGGTAAAGTACAAGCAGTTAGTTTAAAATCTAATGAGCACAAAGTAAATTTGACTGCAAGGAAATTATCATAGAAATGATTTATCTTGTGCATATTAATATAGCTCAATTCATAATGACCTCGTCATCATGGATATGTTATAAAAGATTATATAAACTCTTTGTTACGACGATACTTGCACATCTCCTCTTCAATGATGATTAATTTGAGCTTTTATTAGTTTTAGCAGAGGAATTTGATTAAAATTTTTGATGAGTTGAAAAAAGAATATATATATATATTATATAAAGGATTAATTAATATCAATATAAGTATAAAATATGTATATCAAATTTTGTATCACAGATTTAGCCAAAATTTAATTGATAAGATTAATTAAATTTACTTTCTAAAATATTAATTATAATTATTTCTAAACATTAATGAAAGTAATAATTAATCAAATCTATTAAATTTTGACTAAATTAACTCAATGAGATGTTAATTGATCATACACACATACATATGATTAAACAAACAAAATATATGTAAATTTGATCCATGAAAATTTAACTTTCCATTTTGAGTGGTCTATTGAACTAAATATATATAAATTTGGTCCATGAAAATTTATCTTTACATTTTTAGTGGACCAAATTAATGTAAGTTTCACTATTATATTTTAGTTTTTAAAAATCACTCATCGTTAAAAATTAATCTCTTAGCATTACCTTTTTATATTTTAAACTCTCAATAACTCTTTTAACTTTAATTTATTTTAACTTTATACGTAAACATCTAATTTATTTATACAAATTTTTCAATGGACGCAAATTTTCAAAAATTGAGAGTTTGTACAACTAAAACAAAAAATTTTCATTGCTCCCCCCACGCCGATAAAAATCCGTCTGTGATTGGTTTAGACTACTAATGACGCCATAATAGACCAGATTTCATCGCCTCTTCAACTTTCAACATGTTTGCGCGAACATATTTAATGCTCAATATTTTTTTCAACTCACTGCTGTTTATTTCTTCAAGTTGGTGACCAAAATCCCCAAAAGGAGTGATCAGAATCAAAATTCCAAGTATAATGAGGCTTTTACATTAAAGGGCCCGTTCGGTAGATTGAGAAGAACTGATAAGATACAGTTTATCAGTCGTTACACATGTTCGGTTCGCGTGTAATGGATAGAGATAAGATATGTATCTGAAGGCTCGTATACAGCTATCTCTCAGTTTTGGTCCATGATAAATTTCATCCACATATAGAAATGCCCTTATCGACTCGCTAGAAGAGGCGACGTCTGGAAGGGGCCCGATCCAGCTGAGGAGGTGGAAGGAGGTCGACTGGAAGGAGGACACAGAGGGATGACTCTGGCCATAAGGAGGCAGACGACTTGCTTGGCGACCTCGTTCTGGACCAGCTCGATCGACCTCATCAGGGAGGCATCGTCAGGCTCGATCGAGTTGGAAGGAGGCATCGTCAAGCTCGATCGGCCTCGTCGGCTTGCAATCGCAGGGACTCAAAGCAAAGCCTAGACTACGACCCATCACAGGGACGACGACCGGCTGACTCTGTCTGATCCATCTGGTTTGATTTTTTTTTTTTTTAATACCCCAATCTGGGTTTGTTTTTTTTTAACCCGGATTTGGGTTTGTTTTTTTCTAAACCCAGATCTATTTTTTTTAACTTTTATCAAAAAATGGCACTTTGGTAAATTTTACTTTTATCTTACTTTTCAAAAATTTTATTCCATTTATTATCTATTTAACCAAACATGTGATAAAATTTATCCCCTAATAAATTTATCCTGTTATATCCTGATCACTCTATATCCTATCTCTCTATCCGAACGCCCCAAAGTAGTGAAAGTTGTGCATCCAAATTGGAGTCAATCTCGCCACTTGGCTAGCAGATATACGTTATTAATGAGGGGAAGAAGTTGGAAGAAGGTTTATTTATTTGACACTGAATATTCATGACTTTTTGGTATGTAATGCTGATGAGGACCACAGTATAATGGTTGGCTCTACAGAGAACAAAAAATTGTGTTAGTACTAGTTTTCTAGTTTATCGGCAGTTTGAGATTTTTTGTCACCTGCTCCATTAGTTAATAGCTAAATATATGTATTCTTTAATCAATTTTTATACATTATAGAGAGAGAGAGAGGAAGAGAGAGACAGAGAGAGTTTTGCTAGAATGAAACTCTTCTGCTTTCCCATTAAGAAAAAGGGTTAGGTAATGAAAATTTCTACGGGTTTCAAAACATAAAAATCCCTTATATTTTTTTAAAATTGTACAAAATTCTCTGTGATATACAAATTATACAAAATTTTCTTTTATTTTAAACTTAAAAACATATATCTTTTATTCTTTTTAAAATTGCACAAAACTTCCATATGATATGAAAATTGCACAAAATCCCTTGTGTTTTAAATTTAAAAGCATAAAACCTCTTTGTATTTTCTTTAAATTGTACAAAACTCCCATGTTATATGAATATTGCTTGATTTTGGTTAATTTGCTGGAACAAACAATTATTATGAAAAATATTATTGAAAAACCATAATACCCCTAATATTTTAGTTAATTTGCATAAAATTTTTTCATGATATGAGAATTAAAATAAAATATATTATATTTTAATAATTATCCACTTGTTTTAAGGGAAAATAGTTGTGAATTTTAAAAAATAGTTGTGAATTTTTATTTTCTATAATTTAGTTAATAATAAAAAAAATCATTTTATTAAAAATGTTATCTTTCATTGTACAAATTTTTTTTTCTGAATAAAGTCAATTCCTATAATCGATAATTCAATGTCTATTTTATTATTTTTATTTTTTTTTATTTTTGTTAAGTCTAATTTATTTTTTCTTAAAAATTGTTCAATAATATTTTTTCATAATAGTTATAAAACAAATAACCAAAACCAAGTTAAGAATTCTACCATTTTTTAAAAAAATAAAAAAGATAAAAAAAATTAAATAAAACTTAGTGCACTTTTTTTATCTTGGTTTTCAAAGTTTTTTTGTTTTTATATATTCACCTCACTATCTTTTGTATTTTCTAATTAAATCCTTAATTCGATTATAAAAATTAAATATTATTTATGGAAAAAGTAGATAATTATAGAAATATAACATATTTTATTTTAGTTCTCATATAATAAAATAATTTTATGCAAATTAACTAAAATATTTGAGGTATTATGGCTTTTTAATAATATTTTTATTATAATAATTATTTTATCAAAATAATCAAAATCAAGCAATTATTATATACTAGGAAAGTTTTCTACAACTTAAAGAAAATAAAGAGGAATTTTATACTTTTTAAATTTGAACACAGAGATTTTATGCAATTTTCATATCATATGAGAGTTTTGTATAACTTAAAAAAAATATATATAGAGTTTTTATACTTTTAAATTTAAAATACAAGAAAACTTTTTACAATTTTCATATCATAAAAAAGTTTTATATAACTTATAAAAAAAAATATAAGAGATTTTTATACTTTTAACCCAATTTCTACCTTAGAGGTAATGCCTAGACATCATTGATTTGTATGGACCCTTTCTCTGTCATGTGTAATTTGACGTGGTTATTTGTGAATATAGTATTAATTAAGTCTTATGCACTGTGCTGTCACTGGAGAAATTGCAGCATATATTTTGGAGCTATGTTGGTGGAGTTATCGAAAGCTTGATTTTTTAAATTAATGACTGAAAAATATATCAATTGAGAGCAATCTTGCAGGCGCATCTCGTAAAGGAAACAAGAAGAAAGAGTTGAATATGAGTTTGCAATGAGTTCTTGACAAGTGGATAGGCATGGTGCCCAACAAAAGGTGCGTTGATAAGCTGTTAATCACTCCCATCACAAACTCCGTATAGGAAGTGACGTCATGCTAGCCAATTGTCTATGGAGGCTCCTTTTTATTAATATATATATATATATATATATATATTTTTTTTTTTTTTTCTTTTTTTTTCTTTTTGGTTGCGTGCCAATTGTGGGTGGGGTTGGCTTGTCGTTTGTTTGTTGCACCCAAGTACGCGTACTAATCTAACAGGGGGATACATCCAGGGCGCAAAAAGTTTACAAGACACACCGCGAAGATGGGATAAAGCACAAGATGAATTATATTAGTTGATATTTAAGTATAATTACCTTAATAATATCCTAT